GCTTTACCCCTCCGTGTCCTCGCCAAGCGACACTGGATTTTTGCTTGCAGTACTACAAAGGGTGCGTCCCCGCACCTTTGCCCTCTCTTCTTTGGGCCGTCACATCCTGGGCTCATTGAGGAGCCGACCGACGACCCCCGCGATCTTGTTCCACGGCCCAGCACTTCCTGCTTTGCTCCTCCAGCCAAGCTACCTGGCTCCAACTGCTCCTCCGGGTTGCCCCTCCAATGTTGTCCCGCTCTAGTCATTGTTCACGCCACAGACTGACTTCGGACATCCGGCTTGTCTCATACCAAGGCGTCCCCCCCGCATAATGACGGATCCTCTACAAAACCGAGATCGGCTCTGCATCTGCTTAGCGAGATCCCCCCCCGCCCAAAGAAAGCTCTCGCTCTGTCTGACACCGGCTCTCGCTCTGTCATAAAGACCTCCACTCTAAGTTTGCCATGACCGACCAGGCGCACTCCATCACTTTCTCGGCATCTCCGTCACTCGCTCTGTCGACGGCTTGTTGTTCTTATCACAATGACGAGACGCTGTTGAGCTCCTTCAACGCTACGCATGGTCAGTGTCACTCTACGACGACACCTGTTGACACTCATGCCAAGCTTTCTGCCACCGCCGGTGCCCCTGTTGCTAATCCGTCCGCGTACCGGAGCCTTGCTGGCGCACTCCAGTACCTCACGCTGACCCGTCCTGACTTGGCATACGCCGTCCAACAGGTGTGCCTCTTCATGCATGATCCCCGTGAGCCGCACCTCTCGATGATCAAGCGGATTCTACGCTACCTGAAGGGCACTCTCTCCTCCGACCTCCACATTGGTGTCGGCCCTGTTCAGTCACTGGTCACCTACATCGATGCCAACTGGGCTAGCTGCCCAGACTCTCGGCGCTCCACCTCCGGCTATTGTGTCTACCTCGGCGACAATCTGATTTCTTGGTCCTCCAAGCGTCAGACCACGGTCTCCCGCTCCAGTGCAAAAGCAGAGTATCGTGTTGTTGCTCATGTGGTGGCCGAGTGTTGCTGGCTGCGCCAGCTCCTGCAGGAGCTCCATGTTCCCATTGCTTCGGCGACGGTTGTCTACTGCGACAATGTCAACGCTGTCTACGTGACAACCAATCCCGTTCATCATCGTCGCATGAAGCACATTGAGATTGATATTCACTTCGTCCGTGAGAAGGTCGCCTTGGGACAAGTTCAGGTCCTTCATGTGCCGTCCTCTCACCAGTTCGCAGACATCATGACCAAGGGCCTTCCTGTACAGCTATTTACTGAATTCAGGTCCAGTCTATGCGTCCGGGATCCTCCCACTTAGACTGCGGGCAGGTATTAGGCAAGTCTATGTGTGATTAGCTATGATTAGCACCTACTATGTATATTTGATTGTATTCCTTGTATAACCAGCCATATTAGCTATATATATGAAGGTCACCCCCCCCATATTGGGTGTGAGGTGTGTCTCTACAATCACACATCAGGGTTCTCTTTCCAATTCTTATTTTTCTGTTCCTGATGTCTCTTTTGTACCTCAATTGTATATGAACCTTCTTTCTGTTGGTCAACTTGCTGACCATAACTGTTTTGTTGGATTTGATGACTCATCTTGTTTTATGATTGTCGAACCGGGACTGTACTTGGGACTGGCCATCGCCGTAGGGGCTCACCTAGCCTCTACGTCCTCGACACCTTGCGTCTTCCTCACATTTCCGCTCATGTGTCATCAGCCGCTTCATCATCATCGCCATCTACCTCGTCCTTCGCCAAGTGGCATCACCGTCTTGGTCATTTATGTGGGTCTCGTTTGTCTAATTTAATAAATAAAGGTTGTTTAGGTCCCACATCCATCGAGTCTAGTTTCCATTGTAAAGGTTGTAAGCTTGGGAAACAGATACAACTCCCATATTCTATTAGTGATTCTCATGCTGCTAAACCTTGATCATATTCATTCTGATGTATGGGGTCCTGCACCTTTTGCTACAAAGGGTGGTCATAAATATTATGTTATTTTCATTGATGATCATTCTCGACATACTTGGATTTACTTCATGAAACCTCGATCTCAATTGTGCTCTATTTACCAAACCTTTGCTCGCATGGTACACACGATTTTTCTACCCCGATTCGAGTTTTTCGCTCGATTACGGTGGAAAGTATTTATCCACTGCCTTTCGCCAGTTTCTGGACTCTAAGGGTACTCTTGCTCAGCTTTCGTGTCCTGGTGCCCATGCTCAAAACGGGGTTGCTAAATGCAAACACCGTCATCTGATAGAAACAGCTCGCACTTTTGATTGCTTCTTTTGTTCCTTCACACTTTTGGGGAGAGGCTGTTTCGACGTCTGTGTATCTTATTAATAGGCAACCATCATCCAAATTGTCTGGCAAGTGTCCTGGTGAAGTTCTTTTCGGGACTCCTGCTCGCTATGATCATCTTCGAGTTTTTGGATGCCTATGCTATGTTCTGCTTGCTCCTCGTGAGCGAACAAAGTTGACTACTCAGTCGGTTGAGTGTGTTTTCCTGAGATAGTCCTGAGCACAAGGGTTATCGTTGCTATGATCCCTCTTCTCGCCGTATACGTATCTCCCGTGATGTCACCTTTGTTGAGGATCGTCCTTTCTTTTATAGCTCCTCAACAAAGTCATCATATGCTCCTACAGAGTCCACCTCCTTTATGTGCCTTCCTCCTATTTTAGGCTGTGATGATGCCAGTCCACAATGTGTGTCCCCTTCCAGTCCACTCATTCATATTCCTTTGTCTCTAGACACACCTCCACCACGACCTCCATCACCTCCTCTTGTTGATAATCAGCCACCCATCCTTCCTGCATCACCACCACGTCATCCACCAATTACAAAGACCTACTCTCGTCGTCCTAAAAATCGTATTCCCACTTCCTTAGCCAGTCCTGACGCTCCTAGTGTTGCTGATTTTACTAATTCTGATGAGCCGTGTGCTATTTCTGATGAGACACAGGTTGGTCCACGATATAATCTACAAAATCGTGCTACTATTGCGCCTCCTGACAAGTTGGGATTTCCACGTGCGAGTGTTGTTGTTGATGAGCCATCCACTTATCAGGAAGCTTCTAGTATTCTAGAATGGCAGCTTACTATGTCCGAGGAGCTTGCTGCTCTTGATCTTCAAGGCACTTAGGAGCTTGTCCCACTACCTTCACATGTTGTACCAATCACCAGTAAGTGGGTTTTTAAGATTAAAACCAAGTCAGATGGTTCTATTGAGATACAAAGACCGTCTTGTTGCACGCGGGTTTTAGCAAACTCCAGGACTTGATTATGACGAGACATTTGCCCCTGTTGCTCACATGACCACTGTTCGTACTTTACTCGCAGTGGCTGCTTCATCTTCTTGGGCCATATCTCAGATGGATGTTAAGAATGCTTTTCTTCATGGTGATTTGAATGAAGAAGTTTATATGCAACCACCTCCAGGTGTTGATGCTCCTCCAGGCCTTGTTTGTTGGCTTCGCCGTGTTTTATATGGTCTTAAACAGGATCCTCTTGCTTGGTTTGAACATTTTGTATCAGTGATAAAGACAGCTGGTTTCACACCTAGTGATCATGACCCTGCTCTATTTATTCATCTCTCACCACGTGGTCGTACTTTGCTTCTTCTATATGTTAATGGTATATTGATTACGAGTGATGATGTGGAACACATTTCTCTTGTGAAACAGCAGCTTGGTGAGCACTTTCAAATGTCCGATTTAGGTCCTCTCAGCTATTTCTTAGGCATTGAGGTTAAGCAGTGTGCCAATGGATACTATATTTCTCAGACCAAGTACATACAAGATCTTATTGCTCGTTCCGGTATCACCGACAATCAGACGACTGCTACAACGATGGATCTTCACTTGCAACTTCGTCCTACTGATGGTACACCTCTTCCGGATCCCTCTAGATATAGACACCTTGTGGGTAGCCTTGTTTATCTTACTGTTACCAGACCGGATATTGCTCATGCAGTCCATATTTTGAGTCAGTTTGTGAGTGCTCCCACTTCTGTTCATTTTGGGCATTTACTTCGTGTGCTACGGTACTTAAGGGGGACACCATCTCGATGTTTATTCTATGACCGTAATAGTCCGCTTCAGCTCCATGCTTACTCGGACTCCATTTGGGCGAGTGACCCAATGGGTCGTCGTTCCATCACAGGATATTGTATCCTTCTTGGCTCCTCTCCTATTGCATGGAAGTCCAAGAAGTAGGCAGCTGTATCTCGCTCTAGTACAGAGGCAGAACTTTGAGCACTTGCCACTACTACTTCAGAGATTGTACGGCTTCGATGGTTGTTGGCTGATTTTGGGATTTCTTGTGATATCGCCACACCTCTTCTCTGTGACAATACAGGAGCTATACAAATTGCCAATGATCCTGTGAAACATGAACTTACTAAACATATTGGTGTTGATGCTTTCTTTACTCGGTCTCATTGTCATCAGAAAACCATTGCTCTTCAGTATGTGCCTTCTGAGCTGCAGTTGGCTGATTTCTTCACTAAAGCACAGACTCGAGAGCAGCATCGGCTTCACTTGCTCAAACTCAATGTTTCAGATCCTCCACTTCCACCTTGAGTTTGAAGAGGGGTGTTAAGTATATGAAGGCCCATCTAATATAGGCCCATATGGCCCATGAGGCTCTCTATATATAGTGATCTCCACTAATGGAGTGATTATCTTCTCAAATTCCAAAGGTTAGTAACATGGTATTCTGGGAACATGTTCATATCAATTGGGATAATAATTATCCATAGCTGATAATCAATGGACCAAGACCAACAAATCTAAAACATACCTCAAGAAAAAAAAATGAAAACACTAGTCCTTTTTAAGTCAAAACAGAATCTTTCATGGCTTCCCAGATCTGAAGAGAAACTAATTTGAAGAGCTAAAGTAAACTTCTATATACAAATGCACAGAATACATAGATTATTTCGATCAAATAAGAGTATAACTGTATAAGACAACATAAGGTGAAGCATACCAAAATTGAAGCATATGTGCCATCGAAATGTACCCCGATAATTGTCTAGAAAAGCCAGATTTTGCCTGTTTCAATATGAAAGTTAGATCTCATCAAATAAAATGAAAAGAGACTTTAGAAAAAAATCCTCCTGCATCATTCGAGAAAAAAAAGGAGGGGAAGATGAAGCAGCAGCATAAAGAATCTAACCCGAACAATGAGAATGAATAGCCTTCATAAACTCGGTTAAGAACAAGAACAGATAAGTTGAAGCTCCAAATGAGGCTTGTGCAATACTTATAATGAGCAAATAGCTGCAAAATGTAGAACTATGATCAGCCAGAGAATGAAACAGATATTAACCAAAATTACGGTAGCAAAAGTTCCAAATCCATTCATTTACTCACTCTACATCCCTTAAGATTGGTTTTATCTGATGTTAGTTAGCAGTTAGTGATGTCACAAAACAAACCAAGTGGCATTGTGCACTGGATTATGGATATGATAAATTCACAGATTTAAAAACACATAATTACAATATGGCCACTTCTTTAATCTGTTTACCGCCTACTCGATATTATGTGTATCAATAACTGGAGTCATTTCCTGCTTTTGACACAACATTCAGACCACACACATTTTCCAGAATAGGTTCATCGACTCTGAAACAAAACAGTAACTGTTTGTTGTACTGACAATGAGATCAGATTCTTCTATCTAACTGTATATGTAGTACTTTTTGTATATATACAAACAACATGGGGGAAAAGACTAAGACAGTTTGAAGCAACAGTGGGGGAACATGTAAGCACTGACCTTGACAATAGAGTAATTAATCAATGAAATTAAAAGAATGAAGACAACACTGCCATTAAGACAAACAAGTTAGAAGATTACAGGAGGAACAGCAAAGAAGCCAAACCAAAATGGGCTGGCGAGTTGCATACCAAGCACCGTGAAGATAACACAGATAGCTCAAGGACAGCACAAGCCACAACAGGGCGGTCCCTCGGCCTTTCAGGCCATAGCAGTACCGCAGTCCATTAACTAATACCAGAAATGTTCCCATTACAGCGGACAGAATAGGCAAGTTCCCGCGGAAGTTTCTCCATTGCGCATCGGACAGGTCCTGCGACAGAAAGCAACGAGATCAAGCAGGCAGCTAGGTAGTCTTCAGATGAGAGACAGAACACTAGCAGAGAGACTGGCGAAGCGTCACGCACATTCAGATGCCCCGCAAGTGATCCCGGGCGTAGTCCGTAGAGCCTCCCGGAGTAATCTGCACCGCCCGCGAAGCAGCTGTGAGACGAGCGGCAATCGCTGACTGAGAAGGTAACGGGAGGGGGTGAGGGCTGCCGCCGCCGCCGTACCGTGCGAGAGGCGAAGCGATTTCCGGATCACGACGAGGTAGAAGCCCAGCGCGTAGAGGACGAGCGCGGCGAGCTCCACCCGCTTCCAGGGCACGCCGCCCATCTCCGCCCCGACCTCGAGCCTCCCCCCGCCTGGGAAATGGGGGCAGAGCGAGCTGCTTGAGACACCAGCAGAGGAAGGTAGGGCCCCGCCCAGCGGGGAATGCGCGGCTGTGGCCGGGAGCAGAGGCAGCGGAGCGACCGAGATCCGGGGTCAAACTGCGGCAGCGGACTTCGGACGCCGCCGCACGAACGGGACGATCCAGGCGGAGAGGCCACGGCGAGGCCTGCTGGACTGGGAGGGGAGGAGAGCCTCGTCGCTGGTGAGAACTCAGGTAGGCCCCACCGGATCAGCCGACTCGTGGGCCCAGTGTTACGGCCTTGTCGCCCCAGAACCAGAAGAAGAAGACGGGGTAAAAACCCGGTGGGCCCTTTGGGCCTCATACATAGGCCATATAAAGACAATGTAACGGACTAGGTTTTAATGGGCTGAGTGCTGTGTTTGGATGATTTGTGAGGTCCAATAGATTTGTGATTAGGTTTCTTTAAAAACGGCTTCACTTTTTTTTTTGGGAATTTTTTTTAAATAAGCTATAAGTGTTTAACTCAACATGGTCAAGATAACCCATGAAATGAGGTGTGAAGAAGCTTATCCTTGCATCAAACCTAGTTAAATATCTTTTGCAAGTGATCTAAATTGAACCGAATATGGAAAAATAATCCTCACTTAACATGGTTTCACCCCAAACTATCTAAAATTTGAGCTCACCTTTTGTGGTCATCGATGACAAAGGGGGAGAAGTAATTCACAAAGAAAGGGAGAGAGAAACCCAAAGGCAGTAAGATAGGAGAAAGAAAGGGGATCAATTAAAATTTGAAGCACACAAGTAGGGGTGCAATCTCATAAATTTGTATGTTGCATTTGTATGTACATTACATATGTTTGCTTGCATGGCACAAGTTTTACATTCAAATATCCATGCTTGTGTGGTGTATGCTAGATTGTAAAAAATAATTTATGCAATAAAAACTAGCATGCATAGGTTAACTAGACACTTGAATTGATTTTACAAGTAGTACTAGAACCTTGTTTCTAATATTGATCTCATGAGGTATCTAGTGTCTTTTGCTTTTTAAGTGATATCTAGCAAATCATGGTGCTAACGATTGTAATAGAACCGACCAATTATACGAGATTAAGTAAGAAAACCTTCCGTAAAGGCGTATAATTTAGCAAACTTAAGCCCGTATAACCCGGTAGTCCGTGAAACCACGAAGGATTTCAAACCAATCGACATACAAACCAAGATCGTATAAGTTTAGCAAGTACCGTCACACGTTACATAAAGTTCGCAATCACAGTTCGGTACATCAAGTTTAGAACATAAATTTATTACAACCCAAGTTCAAATCAAGTAGCGGAAGCAAATAGTTTTAAAGCCACACACACACTTTTAGTTCAGATACAATGCCAGTAGGTAGTCATCTCCAACAAAAGCATTAGATGAGAGATACGGAGTGACCATTGCCCTTGGTCCTAGTTGTCACCCATCACTGGGTACAGGCAGTTAATGCAATAGCCGTAGTACATTTGACCATCTGCAACAACAATGGGAACAACGCCCTGAGTACGAGAAGGTACTCAGCTAGACTTACCCGTCTTAAACCAAAATAAAGCGACACCAAGGATTATGCAAGGCTTTCTTTAGTGGGCTAGCTAACTTATTTGCGAAAAGCATAAGTTATCATGAAAACATCATTTTAAATACTTTGCATCATCTTTATTGTAACCTATTCATCTAGGTAAGCACCGTGTACTATAGCAATCACTTGATTAACCAATAACATCCAGGTCACCAATTTAGCTTTAGCATGTCCATATCATCCAGATAACCATTAGTGTTCCATCATAATTACTACGATGCAGTAGCTCGAGTCAAGTGCTCCTATCCGGGAGCGATGGCGATCGAATCAATTCCTAACCACCGGTGATTTATTCCTCACGCAAACCACACTCACCGATCAAGTGAGCTACGATCACCAATGACACTTTTCATATAGTCGTGGGACAATCTGGAGCCATAGCACCTGACCGGGGACCGCCTGACCGCCAGAATCAGTCGCACTGCCCTTTTGGGCTCACCTTCCCATCCATTATACCCCCCATCAAGCACTGTCACGCTTTTCGTGTAGATCCGGCCCGAAAGGTGCCACCGACTTCATGATCGAAAGGTACTTTATTCGGCCAACTAAATGTGAGGCATCGTTCAACATGACAAGAGGGATGAGCAACGATCGGTCCTTAATCGACACGAGCCGAAACTAACAAACACCCGTAACCACCGTATGGTTGCCTCCAACTTTTCCGTCCGATCTCCAATTTTTCCATCACATATGGTTAATTCCAGGATATCATTCTTTCCATAGCTAAATTCTTCCATTAACCACCTATAATGTAGGTGAACGGATATCACCGATCGCTCTGGGGTCTAAGCAAGGCAAAGCGCTTATTCGATCCCGACCTAACAGGTAAAAAGGTAATAAGGTAGGCAAGGATAGTAATAAATACATCAACGGTTTCAATCAACTCCTACAACTTAATGCAACAATATATAACTCATATATATCGAAATTATTGCTTTTGTGTAAATTAGGAGACTTAGAATGCTCGGGGCTTGCCTCGTTCGAACGAACTAGGATGATGATCCACGCTTTTCGGGCAAATCCTCTCCCGGCTCCTCTTCCTCTGCACCTCCTCATATGCGTGGACTTCTTGTGGATCTGTCCCGTTGCTGCTCTTCCTAAACCGCTACTAGCAACTCCTCCTGCTATCCTCAGATAATGTAGATGTATAAGTGCTAATGCATAGGTGCATCGGAGAGATGACATGTAATGATCATGATGCATGAAATGTAGATGAACATGTTTAACTTTATTGGACATAGTAGTAGCAAAGCTCTTCTACAAGGTAGTCAACATCATCCAAGAACATGTACTACTATCTACTACGACAACCAATTTGTACTAACATGCCAAATCACCACAACAAACTACGATGTTTCAAAGATACACTAAAGCGAAACATTATTAACTAAACTCGCATTAAAGAAGATCATTTGATTTCATTTTAAACTAGGGCTACACAAAGAACATATATTTCTGGTGCTCATAAAAATTTGAAAATTACAGTAGCATAGTACTACTCTAAGTAGACTACCATAAATTTTCATGGCATTTGGATAAGTAAAATAGCCTACACAAAAATGACAAGGCATAAGTGCTTAAAAAGGCATAAATAGAAAACCTTAGTTAAAAGTGCCAAGCAACAGATTTTATATTTTTCTAACATCCTTAAGGTACTTTGGGATACTCTCCACAAAATTTCATGGTCATAGGATTCCTAGATAATTTACAAAAATTTACACAAGTATCAATCAATGATGAAAGGAAAATCTATAACTCAAAAACCACACATGCAATGACTCTAAAATTTTTACCAGAGCTTCTACTAAGCAAGACTAGATTACCCACAAAATTTCATAATTTTTGGACCACAGAAACTCAAGATATGATTTAAACAAGTTTGCATGCATTTAAAAACACATTTCAGTTTCCTATTTAATTCATCCAAAATTTCTATATCATGTGCTCATGTCATATTTTTCTTAAATACTAGACTTCCTTGTGAGTCTAACAAAATTTGAATCACACCATTTGGATCTACACATTTGCAGCTACAAAATTCACAAAACAAAGATATAGAAATATGTAAATTTGAACTAGCCTATCACTACATCTTTATCATCGACGCGTGGGACCCGCGTGTCACTAGGACCAACTTGTCGGGCCGAGACAAAAACAAGGGAGGCGTCTGTGACAGCGACGACGCACCCACGGGCGAAGCTTCATGGGCGGCGGCTCCTCCGTGGAACCGACGGCACCAGCGTGATCTCCGTGGACGAGGTGACTCGATTGTTTGCTACCAGAGAGACCTAAGACCTAAGCGGAGGTGGCGCGTCACGGGTGATGGCGGCACGCAGAGAGCTCCCAAGGCGAGATGCCGGCGATGGCAAACCATGGCTCCCTCCACCGAGCACTTTGCACGAGCTATAGGGGGTCGCTACGGTGCTACCCACGCAAAAAGAGGATGACGAGAAAGCCTCGGTGGTAGTTGGCACAGAGAGCTCCAACTCCGGTGAGACCTCACCATGGCGGGCGGTGGTGGAAATGGCCAATGTGCCCTTACCAAGACTCAAACGGCTCAACGGCGAGGTGGACGCACGGAAGGGGGGCTACGGTGGCGGCTGATGCGGTGGCAATTACACGACGTGGGCGAGCTTTGTCTTGCCAAAGGCTCCGGTGGAGCTGCAAGCACTGCCATTGCTTCTTTGTGGGTGACGAAGGAGAAGACAGAAACCGAATGAGAGCGTGGGAGGGAGCGGGCGAGTGCGGGGCATGTTGAGGCGCGCAGCAGCCCGATGTGGCCTGGCTCGACAGGACGTCGGTGACATGTGGCCTCCACGGGGCAGCCGAGCTCTGCCGCGGTCGGCCACTGAAGACCGAACCGATACGGCCATCAGACCCGCGATCCCAGACTGACGACATGATTTGATGACGCTCGTTCTCCTAAACCGCGAAGCAAAATTGAAAACAATCTAAATCAAAGTCGTGACCCTATATACCATCTTCAACTTCTATTAAAGGATCGAGTCCTAATTCCCCACCAATACCGAGTAATATCATGGCAAAGTCAAGCTGCTGAAACGAAAAACCGAGAAGGACTTAGAAAAATTCTAAGTCTTTGAAAACCGATGAATTGTTGATTTTGTGAGCACAAAATGACTAAGCTATGCACAGAAATTAGCTCAAGACCCACATATAAAAGTTGTTTCCCTACTCAAATACTACAACTTTGCTTAAAGGTTCACTGTCATGCAAAGACTCTATGACATCATTCAAACTAGGTCAAACATGGCACTTTAAAATAATGTCATACACCATATCCATGACTTAGAGACTAAACAAGACTTAGTCATGAATACCAAAGTGGTTTCTTATGCTATT